TTAAACAGTCTTCTGCTAAGTATACATTCCTCAACAGCTACCTCTAAACAATACAAACCTACTGCTTTTAACAAAAACGTTTTTGTTGTTTTTGCACGTATTGTTGTTTCTATTGTTTTGTAGGTTACTAGCTTTTATTTTAGTAACATATTTTGATCATGTACAAATGTTTTTATACAAACAGGCAACGTTAAACTATAACTTGAAGTGCTTCGCATTCTGTCTTGTGTCTCAACTTTCAAACTCCTTTCTATAATGAAAATCGTTGGTAATATTTACTGAATCTAGCTTATGAAGTTCAAAGTGAAACTACCTGTACAAACAATCACGATTTACTCAGTTTTAAATTTAGGTAGCGTACTTTCATCTCGTGACCTAGTGGTCAAGTGGTCAGCGTGCTGGGTTAGTGGATCTTAAACACCCATTGTTCGCAAAAACAATAAAATTTTAGGACAATACAAAAGTGACGGTTAAATCCCAGTATTAGATTAGAGTTGGTTGTTGGTACTGTTGACCAGTTGCCTTCCTGCTATACATAAGATCAAAATTAAGAACTGCCACCGTTTGTGTAACACAACAGCCTTCATCTCGTTAGTTACATACATTTTGATTCACCCCTCACTAGACGAACTTAGATTTACCATTCAGCAATATTCCATTTGTTTTATTATGCAGGATATGTCAACAAAAAGCCTGACTTTGTTTTCACAGATGTCAGTGACATCATGCGCGCGTATGGGAGATAGAACAAAGTGAACAACACATTAAATTAAAGTAAATTTCATTCGATATAAAAGACGAGACAGATAACGATTTCTATGTAAAAATTTCACTTGGGAGTGTTTTGACACACATTGTACATCAAATTCACACTCGTTGATTATGTGATAAGAATTCAAAAAAAAGAAATAAAGTCAATCTTTATAAAATTCGTATTTTCATAACTGTAAACTCACTCGCTCGTTTGTTCTGGTCCAAAAAACAGCCAAAACGTAAACAGCACAGACAGGTGGCGCTAAATATGCAGTGACGCTCTGGATGTAATGGAAAAGTTGGCTACTGTGAGCAGCCTGAATGATCGGAATCCACAAAATGCTGACCACCACTTGAACTAGGACAAAAACCCTAAATAAAACAAAACGTAATTGTTAAGAACGGAAAATAATATACAAGTGTACATGTTTCTTGATTTTTGTGTTTGAAATGTTGACAAGAACAACAACAACAACAACAAAAAAAGACAAATAAAACTAGATTTGTGCCTCATTTTGTTTCTCATTGTCTTGCAAAAACTATGCTTTCACAAGTTCATAAATCAGAACACCACCACGGTCCATTCTATATATATATATATATCATACTATGATGGACATAACGTGTATGTCAGTATCTATGTATGTAACCAAAACTACAGAAAACTATGCTTTCACAAGTTCATAAATCAGAACACCACCACGGTCTATTCTATATATATCATACTATAATGGACATAGCGTGTATGTCAGTATCTATGTATGTAACCAAAACTACAGAAAACTATGCTTTCACAAGTTCATAAATCAGAACACCACCACGATCTATTCTATATATATCATATATATATATATATATATCATACTATAATGGACATAGCGTGTATGTCTCAGTATCTATGTATGTAACCAAAACTACAGAAAACTATACATCAACAAGTTCATAAATCAGAACACCACCACGATCTATTCTATATATATCATACTATAATAGACATAG